TCTTGTACTTGGTTATTTAGAGCTGTACTGGTTTTAACAAGCAAGTTCAGTAATGACCAAATAATCAAATGAGAAAATATATTTTTCCATGTGCAATTCTGAATGGAGTCTCACTGAGAACATTTCCTTTTTAGATTGTTATATTCTCATATACACTATATTGCCAAAAGTATTCGCTCACCTGCCTTGACTCACATATGAACTTAAGTGACATCCCATTCCTAATCCATAGGGTTCAATATGACTTTGGTCCACCCTTTGCAGCTAGAACAGCTTCAACTCTTCTGGGAAGGCTGTCCATAAGGTTTAGGAGTGTGTTTATGGGGATTTCTGACTATTCTTCCAGAAGCGCATTTGTGAAGTCTTACACTACACTATAAACTGATGTTGGACGAGAAGATCTGGCTCTCAGTCTCCGCTCTAATTCATCCCAAAGGTGTTCTATGGGGTTTAGGTCAGGACTCTATGCAGGTCAGTCAAGTTCATCCACACCAGACTCTGCCATCCATGTCTTTATGGATCTTGCTTTGTGCACTGGTGCACAGTCATGTTGGAAGAGGAAGAGGCCAGCTCCAAACTGTTCCCACAAAGTTGGGAGCATGGAATTGTCCAAAATCTCTTGGTATGCTGAAGCATTCAGAGTTCCTTTCACTGGAACTAAGGGGCCAAGCCCAGCTCCTGAAAAACAACCCCACACCATAATCCCCCCTCCACCAAACTTTACACTTGGCACAATGCAGTCAGACAAGTACCGTTCTCCTGGCAGCCGCCAAACCCAGACTCGTCTATCAGATTGCCAGATGGAGAAGCGCGTCTCCACCGCTCCAGAGTCCAGTGGCAGTGTGCTTTACATCATTGCATCCGACGTTTTGCATTGCACTTGGTGATGCACGGCTAGGATGCAGCTGCTCTGCCATAGAAACCCATTCCATGAAGCTCTCTGTGCACTGTTCTTGAGCAAATCTGAAGGCCACATGAACTTTGGAGGTCTGTAGTGATTGACTCTGCAAAGGTTGGCGACCTCGTCGCAATATGCGCTTCAGCATCCGCTGACCCCGCTCCGTCAGTTTACATGGCCTACCATTTCATGGCTGAGTTGCTGTCGTTCCCAAACACTTCCATTTCCTTATAAAACAGCTGACAGTTGACTGTGGAATATTTAGGAGCGAGGAGATTTCATGACTGGATTTGTTGCACAGGTGGCATCCTATCACAGTTCCATGATGGAATTCACTGAGCTCCTGAGAGCGACCCATTCTTTCACAAATGTTTGTAAAAAAAAGTCTGCATGCCTAGGTGCTTAATTTTATACACCTGTGGCCACTGAAGTGATTGGAACACCTGATTCCGATAAATTGGATGGGTGAGTGAATACTTCTGGCAATATAGTGTAGATGCATATGTAACTTTGTACAGGTCTTGGGTGGAGGTGTTCATTTTACAGTTTAGTGCGGAAGTTTGCACAGTATCCAATACTTACACAGAAAGTGTCATATCTGCAGGGTAAAGTAAGCTAGAAGGTAACCAAACAGGGCAAACTTGACAGAGAAAGCAATGAGCTTTAGCAAAGGACATCTCCATGCTGGAATTTAATGTAACAGTAAAGACTTAAACCTCTAATAAATCATTTTCAGGAGTAAGATGAACCATTGTGGCTGCTGTCTGCTCCAGTACATGGTTGTTATTGGTGCAGGTGCACGAAGAAACACCGTCAGTGTGCACTAAAGCTGGTGCTCGTTGCTATTGTGTCCTTAAAATACAGCCTCCATAGTTACCAGAACCAGGCAACCATGAAAAAGCCTTCATGAAACTCATACACAATAGCTTTTTTGAGTAGATGTCAATCTGTGTCATTGTTTTATTGTTTTACTGTTCATTGTCTATTTGTGTATCATGTATGTTTTATATTAGCTTTTTGACTTTGTATGGCTGCCACCTTGGCCAGGTCTCCCTTGGAAAATAGAGCTCTAATCTCAATGGGACTTCCTGGTTAAATAAAGGTAAATAAATAAATACATTGTTGAGGTTTCCTGGGTTGAAAAAGCTGAGCTGAAAGAAAAAATCGAACCAATTTGTTACTAATTTTTTTTTGCCTTTATTACAGGGACAGCTGTAGAAAGACAGGAAAAGGCGAAGGACTCATTATTATTCAAATAAGTGCATAAATGAACTTTCAGCCTCAACTTTTTAAGCAATATTGACGAGAGGTCCCCTGAAGTCAGGATTTCTGTACTCATTTGTAGCTGTGCTCAATATGATGAACCAAGATGACTATTATAGGGTGATGTATACCATAAAATATATTTAGTTTTAGACGTGTTTTTCCCCTGTTTAAATGACAGTTTACTGTGAGTGTTTGCTTGTGTTTGTCTGTATGCACAAGACTTGAACCGGATGCCTAAACAAAGGTGACAGTTACTTCCAGGGGATAAAGTAAACCATCGAGTCTGCAAACTAACCACACCACCAGCATGTTATTATAAGTTTCAGATCAAGGCAGTTACTTACAGTGTTAAACGTTAACGTTAAAAGTTTTAACAGTGTCACAGAATATTAATCTAAACGACTTAAGTGCTAACTTGCTTTCAAAGAATCTGAGTGAAATCAAGTTATGTAAAGTTTGTTTGAGAACCAGAATGCAGGGCTCATAATAAGTATTTTACAGCAACCATCTGGCAGATTATTTCAGGAGCAGAAGTGATGATTAGTGATTTGGAAAGAATTCAACGTTTGGAAAAGGTTCCTGATGTATGTGCCTGGCTGATAAGAATGGAAGCATATCAGGTATAGATCCAGGTGTCAGGACATAATGATGTTAGAATCACTCCTGTAATACACAGCTAAGGGCAGTGAAGCTGTTGAAGAATTAGACAGATATGGACCTTGTTTTTCTTTTTGGTTAGAGTCAGGGTATAGCAACCTGCCTTCTGAAATAGCAGCCGGAGCAGGTGAATGGATTTGGAGCAGGACGACCTGCAGAAAGGGCGTTACGGTAATGGAGTCTGCCGGTGACCAATGCATGGACTGGAGATTCTCAATGTGCTCGAGTGATAAAGCTACAGGGTTTTTTTTTTTTTTTTTTTACACATTTTTGAAATTAGTGGGAGGAATTTCCTACACATTCCCAATTCTAGTACAGGACCTCAGCTGAGGAGTAGGTGGTGTTTTTTGAACAAATCGTGCATTTGTGTAGCATTAAGTTTCCGCATACTTTGACAACAATGAGCAAATTATGGTGTTTGTTTAAGCCTAAATTAGATAAGATTGTTTTTTTTTTTAAAAAATACACATTAACACGAGTCCTGTGTTACTTCCATCCATCCATCATCTATACACTGCTTAATCCTCACTAGGGTCGCGGGAGGGCTGGAGTCTATCCCAGCCAACTTAGGGTGAAGGCAGGGGACACCCTGGACAGGTCACCAGTCTATCACAGGGCTACACTTAGAGACAGACAACCAAGCACACTCACATTTCCTGTGTTATGTGTGATAGGTAATTTTACAAGAATATAATCACTTCACAGCAAACATGCATCGTAGTTCACACACACTCAGAGGAGCAGGTTTTCTATGTTCTGAATTAAAGTGTAACCTACTATCTTACTGTAAGTGATGATTGTCACAGTGCTGTACTATTAGTACCGGTCCATCAAGTCCCGCACATCCAGACTCACCAACACATTCTACCCAAGTGCAATACAAGTACTGAACTCATATTAGTCTACAGTCTGTACTATTTATCACACATATTTATTATTTATATTATACTATGTTATATATAATCATGTTTTAATTATATATTGTACAATGCTTTGTATATATTTTATTTATATATATTATTTATAGCAATTATTTAATAATTATTTATTTATACTATTTATATTTCTCATATAGTCACAGTTTTCTCCCCTCACCAGTGCAGTATATTTATCCTATCGTCTGGTAGAATAAACTGTATACTTCCTACTGGCTCCTTTTGTAAATATATCTATATATTCTTATTTGTCTTTTTATACTTTTACTTTTATACGTTTGCACCACTGGAGTTGTCTTTCAATTTCATTGCACCTTGTGTATGATGACAATAACACATTCTATTCTATTCTATTCAATTCATACCATTCCACCAGTTTGAAACTTCTCTTTTTCGGTTTGATCAAAAAAAAAAAAAAAAGGCAAGAACATTTTCCTCTAAAATCATCTTTAATAAAGAGGTATGTGCTTCCACATATTTACAGAATAAACTGTTCCACAGATGGAAAAAATACACTTTGAAGTTCATTAAATTCTGAAATACTGACTTTTACTTGCAAAGGGAAAAAAAAGGAAATTGTAGGATGAAAAAGTTTTAATGACATAAAATGGCATGGAAGAGAGTCTATCTTTTGGGCCAGTTATGCCGGAATCCTCTGTAGGGAGGGAAAAGACAGAACGGTTAACAAACTAGGATGTTTGAATTTGCAGAGGCAAAGAGACCTCTGTATACTCGGTGTATTTACCTATCCGATTTTCCAGGCAGGAAGGACATACTGCGGTTTCCAGCTCCGAAGTTGTTTTTTTGCCCCTTTGGACCTTTCTGTTGGAAATAAGACATACATTTATCAAGAACTAATAAAATCAAAATCTAAATATATGTGTTCCAATAATAAAGTGCATTGAAGAAGCAAATACCTTTTTCTTAAAACCCTCGCCTTGACGATTTGGGTCAAACTGTGTGTTATCCTTTGATTTGGAGCCTTTAAAAGTAAAAAGGAGAGTACAGATTTGAATTCATTTTTAGAAGGCAACTGAATAAAAAAAAAAAAAAAGATAAGTAGCCGTGTGTGCAATGTGAAAAAAGAACTAAAAATTCACATATGCATACCTGCGAAGACTTTGAGGTCTGACTGACTGTAGTCGAAGGGCTTGAAGCTGTCTTGCGGAGACGCTTCTGTCTTCTGGGGTTTCTCAGCGGATTTCATCAGCTTCTTACTTGGTTTGGGAGTCAACTCTCCAACCTCGCTGGCAGCCCTCTCTCTCTTCTTTCCACCGCCTTTTGCAGATTCCTAATGAAATAGGTCGGTAACGTTATAGTCTGTACGACACAATGAACTGACATTTTAATTCTAATGTTTGGAAATGCAGCCACTTTGTCAAACTAACAAGATGGTGGAAGTCGTATGCAAATGCTGCAATCTGCTCTTTTTATAGGATTGTTTTTATGTTTTAATATTCTGGAGGTAAAATTGTTCAAGCAGACTTGGCTTTTAAGATGCTTCAATAAAAGGCACAAAAACACAGAATAAAAACTGTAAACCTGTGTCATATAATATTTTATCTTCCTGTGTTGCACACCCAGTTAATATTCCTGTTAAACAACTGAACCCAGCATTATATCCACTCATCGGTGATGAAACAACCTGGAGTTGAAAGCTTTTGCTGCCATCTGTAGGTTGAAGTTTTCATCTTTACTCGACATTCTGCAACATGGAATTGTTCCAGTTCCCTGATGACCGAGTCCAACAGATCAGAGTGTTCGGCGTTAAGAGACATGTGTAGAAAGCTATTTTATCTTGTACCCTGTAGCCATCAGTGGAACAATAAGGAAGTGTGCTACATTCACAAAAGAAAGAACGGTTTGAAGACCTTATCTTGTCATAATGATTTACTATCTACCTAATTAGGAAAGATCTCAGTTACAAGATATGGATGTCATGATGTGGATCTGAAAATAATGAGTAATTACAGAAGCTTTATAATTATCAGAAAAGGTTGAGGTGGTTATCAGTCACTGCTATAACAGCACTTGGGTGATGGGACCAACTGATTTCACGTAATGAACACCAGCTTTAATATCGATGTTACCGTTTTTGCCTCCTACAACGAGCTTCTTTCCATAACTTACAACATAAGATCTAGTTAAATAAAATTACGTTTGTCTTTGTATGTCAGGTATGTGCTTTCTTAAGTTAAAAGTTCTATAGTTCACTATCCAGCCAACAGCTTTGTGGATCATGTAGCTGTATGACAACATCTCATCTGACTTTGTTAATTGTACCCGATGACAACTGTCATTTCATGTCACGGTTAGCCAGTGATGCCGAAGCCCAATCGCAGCACACACATTTTCATAATATCAATCACAATATCAGTGTGGGAGGAGCTTTGAAAAACTACAAAGCTTTCTTCTTTCAAACTGTAATTAGACAAGAAAAGTTCACTGCCAAAGCGCTGGCTGAAACTGACAGCGAGCCGGAACAGCCAATATTTGCCTGCAGTTGGCAGTTTGACGACTGTTACTTTCAAGTGCTGCTGCCAACAATTCTGACTATGATGCATGCCACCAGACGATGCCAGCATGCTTATTTGAAGCCGCCGTTTCAGCAGAGAGTGCCTCAAAACCAAGTTCTCACTGAGGCAGTCATCACACAATGGATTATGAATGATGGCTCAAGCCTCAGACAGTAAACGGCAGAGGGGGGAAATGGTGCAACTATGAGAAAGTCAAAGGGTGGTGACCATTATTTCTGTTCTTCTGCACTGTGGACAAAAGATAAAGGTTTGAAACTTTTGTGGAAGTATTTGAAACAAAGCCGAAACGCAGTACGGTGGCAAAAACACGCACGAGTGACCGAGTGGGTATAAAGCAACAGCCCTGTGAGACGGATCTAAAGGGAAGTGGGCTTTTTGGCAAAAAGCAGCAATTGTTGCTCCCCAGGAGGTAAGAAAAGTGTTTGATGAGTAGAAGACATGTCTCTAATTCTCCAGTCCCACGCTGGGCGTTGTTCCTCCCCAGGCACATCATGTGACAGATATAAATATTAAAAGGCCACTACGGTGCCGGTGCTGCGGACCGACAGCACTGGTTCGCTCGCTTGTGAGTCACCATATTGATGTGCAAAAAACCTGTTGCATCCAAAGAAAATGGGGGGCACTGCAGAGGGTTAAACCTGCTATTATTGTACTATCTTTAATATTCTGTGCCAGGCTCTTGGGTGAATAGAACTCATGTTTTTCAAGGAATTTGTACTTTCCCAGCAGGGACATCAACAGAAAAGTTGACAGAGTGCAAAGCCCATCTGAAGTGGAAAAAAGGAAATGGAAGGATGAGAGAGCAAATGACTCACCGCAGCTTGCTGGCGAACGGTGGCAACGTTCTGGAGAGACTCCTGATAGCTCTGCTTCGCCTTGTTTCTTTCCTCTGTGGAAATTAGCATTAAAAAACCTAATGAGGCTCAAATCTTTAAGTATGTAAGTGTCATTTCAGAGCAATTTAAAGCCCATTACCTGTGGCTTTTCTCGCCTGTTCCTTTGCTTCCTCCTTGGCTTTCTTCTTGGCCTCTATCTCCTTCTGCTGCTGTTCCATGCTCTGCAGTTTCCACCTTTTACTAATCTGTCAGGGTGAGATGGTGCATTTATGAACATTTGAACAGAGAGGAGGTCAATACAAACAAGTCTGGATATGGATTAATGCATGGAGCTCTTTGATTACCTCAAATATTTTTGAAGATGGATCAAACTTGGCGTTCTTGTTGACATGCACATCCTTCGAGGGTAAATACTGAAAACCCAAAGGAAGATAAACACTTTGTGTCAGGGTACATAAAAACAATGCTAATGAGGGTTGTTCTTTGCTCTTCTCTTACCATTCTGAAAGGGTTTTCAAAGGACTCTATGATCTGTCTGGCTTTTACTTGAGCCACAGAGAGTGACATTTCGTCATCTTGTGTTTCCTCCTCCTTCAAAATTGAGCAGAGTTTTCACATCAGGCATCACAATTACACAAGAGTTGACTTTCTGAACAAACTAAAGGCTGATTTCTACCTGAAATATTGAGATTTTAGCGGATGCCACGAGGCCGCTTGTTTTCTGTTTGTCGACGTCCATTCTGTGCTCATCCTCTGAGAAGAGCAGCCCTTGTTTAACCGGCAAATCTGAAAGCAAACATATACGTCAATGCGAGGCCTAATGGGATCCAGTCATTTGCATAATGCGAAACATGCATGAGCATCCAGCTTACCATCATGAGAAATGTGTGGGAGATCGCTTTCAGAAACCCTGGATGTGTCATGAGGACCAAACAACGTGACCTCTGGCTGCAAAATCACACACAATCACATGGATTTTACACTCGCTGTGATTTTCTCTAACTGCTGAAATCAAACAGTGAATATTCCTTCTGTTGTAATCAGATTGAAGCCAACCTTTTTTATGGGTGTGAGTCCTTTCGTCTTTTGAGCTGCTATTTCCGCCTGTGGAGAAAACATTACGGCATTTACTTTGAATGACAATTGACAGCACAAACACTGAGTTGAAAGTGAGAACAACACACCGCTGCTGCAGCCTTGCTTTGCTCACCTTCAGGAGGGGCATTTCTCTGGCTTGTTGCACCAACAAATGAAGCTCATTGACCTGCTGCCTCACCAGTGGGGGCACGGGGTTACAGCAGGCGATGATGCCCTGAGGCTCTCTGAGGAGGAGAGGACGTTCATGTAAAAAAACACCAACATGACACCAAAAACAAATGAAAAGTTAAGCGGAAAATCTCATCAACTTACTTGGGCAGCTCTTCAGATATTTTGTTCATCATATGGGTGGGCATGACGAACCTAAAAACACACACACAAAAACCCTATATTAAAACATGTTAAGCAACATGCCAAAAGACAATGAAAGCTGGGAGATTGTCACAAACCAAATCTGGCAGGACACAAACTATAAATATGGAAACGACGGTGGAGTTAAAGAACTGCCAGTCCATCCGGTTCCAAGCAGCCTACCCGGTGCTTTCATCCTCCTGCCTGGCCAGCTTGTCCCTCCAGGCGAACAGCAGTCTGAAGGCAGTGAGCTGCTGGGTGTTTAAAGACTTTTTCTGCTTCCTCTGCAGCTCCAAATATGACTCCTCTGTGTATATAGGCTTCACATATTTCTGTTTGGAAGTGGGAAGGAAGGTGGGGAGGGGGGGGACATATAGCGAATCGTGACCAATGTCAGAAAACGTAGGAGATTACGATGGGGAAATTTTAAAAATATGAATGCAACCGTGGAAGTATTAGACTTAATAGGACTATTAAGGCACATTTTTTAAGTGGCATTTAAATCTTTATGGGGTATGAAGTGAGATTTGCACACACCTTTAGGGAAATGTCTTTGCTCTTGTTCCAGACACACTGCAGCAGACCAGGCTGCCCGTGGTTGAAGTCCAATAGCTGCACCCTCACACAGTCGTAGATGTAAAGGAGGTAGTGGGTGTCAGCCCGGGCATACTGGACCATCTCCTCTGGCAAGGGGCTACAAGAATGGTGATTGGGCGATTATTTTTTTCAGCTACACACAGTTGATAATCATTTTTTTGAGATTAAGCTAACAAATAACCTAAAAAACACAACAGATTTATCTGTAAATAGAATAAAAGGGAATCTATGCACCAGTTATTCAAACTATAAAACTAAGCATCATATGACCCAGTTATCAACATACCGAATCCTCCAGTCAGCCAGCTGGTACCGTTTGTCCGAGTCCACGCTGCAGAAGTGTTTGAGCAAGTGGTCGAGGGAATGTCTGGCCAGGTTGAGAGCTCTGCTTGCCTGATGCGTGTCAAAAAGGTTGACAACATACAAGCCCAGGTCCCTCTGGAGCCACTCAATGTCAGAATCAGCACCGTGAAACACCTGAGGAGGAGAAATGATTTCGGCTGAAACCACTCTGGTAAAGTAGCAGTCTATTTAATAAAAAATAATTAGTCTCATTTGAACCAAAAATATTAAAAACTGGGGACACACTGTGTGACATTTTTCCATTTGGATCATTTTCACAAATCGTTCAGTTGTTCAAGCCCACACACCACACTTTTTCACAGGTGTCCTGTAGTGCGTGAGTCACGCTGGCTCCCACACAGCAGAGGACACCTGCCAGCTTTATTTAACAAGTTTGAAACTAATCTAAGACACCTCTAATAACTTTACAAACTTAAAGTATTTACTACTTTTGTAGAGACTTCCTTCTTCAGGATGCCATCTAATTTAAATAAGAAATGAGTAGTTGAAGAATTAAAAAAACATAATCCAGTGAGGCTATTTTAAGTCTATTTTCATTAACATTTGGAAATGTGACCGTACTGCTTGGCACAGCTTCACCAAACAGACAACTGGCCAGACAACCAGACAGGTTTTCTTAAAAATGTCCTCAGTGTAATTATCTAAACCACTTACTTGGAAATAAAACATGAAGGGAAGCACTAAAACAATCTGCCATAACAGTCCACTGTGCTGTAAAAACTGATTGAATGCATTTGTACAACTGACGGCTGTAACGTTAATCTCAATTTATATTTTCAAACAAGTGACCTAAAATGCAAGATTATTTGAAATCTACGGTGTGGTTGATCTTTGCATCCATTTATGAAGCTGCATCTACCGGAGTCATGAAGATTTTAATGGGAAAAACAGGATAAGCACTTCTATTAATAAACAACCAGACTGTGCAGTCGCTCACCCCAAAACAAATCTAATCAGACACGTAATCCTGTCTTCCTTTAGACAGCTACAGTCACAGAACAAGATACAGCATGAAATGATTTGAGGAGCAGTTCCATTACCTTCACAATAGACGGGTCAGTGAACGCCTCATTCAGGATGTACATCTCGCTGCGGAGCTCCAAGGTGTCGATGATGAAGTCCTCTTCTCGGGTGGAAATCTGCATCAGACAGGTGAGGCCGAGGAAGCTCCTGTAGGAGTGGTGCTGTGGTGGAGGGCAAAGTGTTAAAGCAGCAAAAAACAACGGACTCAAAATGCTCAAATTAATTAATGCCTGACAGAAGTTCAGCATTACAGGCCTCACGAAAGGTCAGATCACATGAATGATCTTTGTACCTCAAGATCGACTGCGAATTCAGACAAACGGCACAGCTTCTCATTCAGAGCAACCAGATCCTCCAGTGAATCAATGAAGGAGAACTTGGTCTCAGCCACTGGTTTGTACATCTGAAAAGAATCCACAGATAACAGATTAGACCGAAACTTAACCGACGATGAAAGGGTGATGTTATAGGTTCACTGTATATCATCGTATTACCTGAGGCTCTGGCTTGGATAGAAGTTTTTCCTCTACTGTAAGATGGTCCAGTTCATATTGGTACGGGTGTGCAAACCTACAAGGACAAAAAATCAGAAGTTTAAACTGATAATTAGGAAAAGACTAAATTTAAATATGTTGCAAGGGAGCAGTCTTACATGTCTTCAACATGTTCCTGAGTTCTTTGCTGGTGAATGAAGTCTGCCAGGGCAGCTGGGACATCGAGGTCTTCAGGCCTCTCTTTACGTATTTGTTTGTTGGTGAAATCTGAAATTGAAGAGCCAGAGAGCAAATAAGTTGGACAAAGTGTTAAAAACATGGGTGAAAACAAAGGTCCGGAACATGAGAGTGAAAAGTACGCCTTACAAGAAGGAAGTGGCTTTCTCGCATTGGGCTTGATGAAGATCTTCGGAATAAATGGTGTGTTGCTGTTATCAATTTTTTCCTTGAATTTCAGCTGAGGTCTTGCAACATTCTTGGCGTGGAGCAGTCGGAATGTCTCAGCACGACTGCCAGAGCCCGGACCCTGTTCAATAAAAGCAGTTTTTTGAAAAAACCAAAAGGTGTGAAGCACAAGTACGAATATTTATCAAGTGTCTCAAAAAACTTTTTCAGCGCTTTAAGAAAGTGAAAGCCAGGACTGGCACAGCACGTTTCAGCTTGAACGCAGCCCAAAGCTGAGACTGGCATCTGCAGTACAAGAGCTGAGAGGTTAATTAGCCAACCTTGCGATTCCAGCTGGAAACGACAATTTTTGGAGGCTGAAACCCTGCAGGCATGACAGGTTGCTGGCTCCTGTTCACCCCATCAGCTTCATCAAGCAGAATCCCCTGGGAAAATAAGATTGAAGAACTCAGTTGGTTTGTAAAGACTTCTTCATAAAGAAACTTGTCTTACATTAGAGCAACAGGCCATACCGCTCTTTCCAGGATGACATCATTGGAGTCCACCACCAAGTCGAACCTCTCCTCCAGCCCCGTCAGCTTGTTCTGGTCTCTCACGTGAGATCTGCAGCCGTGGTGTTGCATTATCTGACTCATGCTAACACAAAGTGAACAATGTAAGGGTCCACAGAGAGACAGAGCTTGAACTCAAAAGAAGAAACACCATACTGTGTGCTCACCAGTGCAAGAGCTTATCTCCTTGACTTTCACAAAACTCCTGGAATCCTGGGAAGCTCCGGTAGAAATCATATTCATCTCCGGCCTGAGGTAAGCTAGCAGATGCTTTGGTGGCTGATAATACTGCACCCAGTCCATACTGCAGAGGAGACAGCTGTTAGTTTCTGTTTTTAAAAAATATCTTCAAGATAATTAAATGGAACACAACGAAAAATGTCAGCCAAAGAAATCGCATGCAGTGTTTATCTTTTCAAATCAGGTAGGCGACTCATCCACTGTCAATTATGGAAGCTACATAGTTTTATCTGGTGGATTTTAGAGCTGCAATGACTAACTGATTAGCTGTCAACTTTGAAATTAATCGCTATTGTTATCATTAATAATCGCTCACTATTTTGATAATTAACTAATCAGTTTGGGTGTTTTTTTAAAGACAAAAGTCAAAATTATCAAACAGTAGCCTTTTAAATTTGATTTTTGTCTGGTTTCTTTCCTTCTCAGGAACAGTAAACTGAATATGTTTGGGTTGTAGACAAAATAAGATATCTGAAACCTACATTGTGCACTTTAGGAGACAGTAATCAGCACTTTTACAATTTTTGGACAATTTAGAACCAAACAACTCGTCAATTGTTCAATAAAATGATCAGCAGATGAGTTGAAAATGAAAGTAATTGTTAGTGGCAGCCTTAGTTGATTTCACATGAATGTATTGTTCAACACATAGCTAATGAAACAACTGAATATGTATTGATAATATTTTAGATAATCAGTTTAAGGCAGTCTTTTAAACATAGTTTAATGACAGCTTTGATTTGTATATTAGCTTGATGTTCCCCAGTTTAAACTATCACCTTTGGAGCTACTTTAGCTAGCACTGATGCCAGGAGATGTGTTAATATTCTGAAGTAGTCACATTTTCAGTCAGGCAGTTGCTCTACAGTAAATAAACACTTAGCTTGATGCTGCTACATTTTGAAGCTAATGAGCAAAGAGGCTCGACCACAACGTCCACCGTTAGCTTAGAAATGAGCAGAATAAAGGCTAAATCAGCCCTTGGCTCAGCAGTTAGCTGTGAATGTTTCACACTAAGACATTTTCTTCCAGTGTGACCAAGTTCCAGCTCGTAGCCAACAAGCTCATCCACGTTGGCCACCTGAGTGTTAGCCTGAACTCAGCTCGGCTCGTTCACCTACTTTAACGAAGGCGTCCACGTCTTTAAAACCGGGACACAGCTCGTCATTTTCCTCGTCGTTAGTTTCTGCATTACTGTCTTGATGGCCACTGCCTGAGGAATCGCGGCTCTTGGTAGACTTCATGCTCTATCTCGGTGCTGCTGTGTACATGTGTGCGACGGGAAACAGCGTCTTCTTTCTCGGCGTGTTTTTCCTCTGAGCGGCGGCTGAAGGACGCCGGAGAGGAGGCGGCGCCCCCTGGAGGCGCGGAGTGGAATCACAACAAAAAGATTCAGTTTCTGTTGGAAATATTGTTAGTACGTGACCTATTTCATATGCAAAATATTAGAAACTATACCTGCAGCTTGCTCTAGTTTGCTCTTAAAATTAAAAAATACGGTCTGCGGTATTTTTTAGTTGTTTTTGCGTTGAAGCTGAGTACCATTCAGATTGAGATCAGCTTTGTCCACGAGTCCTGTCATTCTAACACTGGCTCTGAACGCCAGTGCTCCCAGTCAATGCGGTGGCACTGCAGACCTGATCTCCCATGTGTTGCCTCACCCCATCCAGCCTGACCACAGCGGTGCACCGGGATGCTGCTGCCATGAGGGGGCAGTGTTGACATTTGCAATCTGCAGCAAGAAGCCTTACAGTCAGACTCTGCTGCATTGGGGAGGTAATACACACCAATCATGTCTTAGCCAATATCTCTATAAGAGCTATCAAAACCACATCTGAATCCAAATTCACTTTTGAGCTAAAGGTGTGACAGCAAAATACCTTTTTGTTAGTGTCTGGTGCAAAAACTCCATTCCAGTTGCCTGGCGCTGTGACTCAGTGGTCAATAGCATGTGAGGAGTCATGGCCAAAGTATTGACACACCAGCTCATTATGGATGATCTGTAGTGTGTGGAGAGAAACCTCTCTTTTCTTCACTTCCCCTTTGTATTGATCTCTTCACAGGGTCCTCTCCCTCTTATTATCTTAAAAGCATCTCTGCAACACTGGCTCAATCAATATTTCACAGTAGCTTTCCATGTCATTCTCTTGTTTTAGTGGACGGCATCTGGACTTGAGCAGATACACGCTCAAATAAACCCAAGAAACGAATCAGTATTCCTTGCAAAAGCTACAGTACAAAGGCAACTTCTTGATGTGTTTTAGTTTTAGATTTGATATTCTCTTCACTATTGCATGTGACGTTTGTATTCAAAACATATGATTATCGGCGCTGATAGTCCTTATTATCCTCTATGACAATACAATTAGTAGATGCAGCAAAAAAAACAAAAAAGCACCTCTCTGTGGATGTGTTCTCTATCCACACAAAGGGACGTTACTGCTGCCTTTTACTCCCATTTATATGCTTTTTCATAATATTATGCATTTTATAGCTTTGATGGTGCCCCAAGGCACCACTCAAATTCTTCCTGCAGTAAAAGACACTAAAACTGCTGATGCTGAAAATGACACCATCCCACACATAATTCAAAAAAAAAAGAAGAAGAAGAAGAAAAAAAATCCAAGAGAAGATCCTCAGTGAATTGTTTTTATTAAGTCCCTCATTTAGAAAACACAAATGCACCAAACGATATCATACATGCACAGCTTCAGCATATCAAGATCAGCTGATGACTTTTCAATGTGAAAACTTTCACTTTGCCACGATCTCACGGAGATCACCCGGACGTCAAAATACTGAGGAGTCACAACAGAAAGGCCAAGCGTTGTCACCCAGAGCTGTAGTTGTCGATCTGTAAGGAGTTACAAATTTAAGGAAACATCGTTTTCTGATCAATTTTGCCTTTTTTTTTTTTTTTTTCTCCTGAAAATTGTAAAGCTGTACTGGTATAAAAAAGACAAAAGGTACGAGCAGATACTTGTATTTATCCACCGTGAGCCACCTTGTAACAGGTAGCGTTTGTGTCACTGCACCAAAAGGCTGTGTGTGATAGCAGCTGCTAGGAAATGTTACTCTCTGCTCATGTATTTTTCAGATTCTGGGTTTGACTGAGAATTACAATTGGAAGTAGGACACCACAGTTTGGTCTCCCAGTTGGGGTGGGTGGGTGTTGCTTCAGATCACAACAAAAATACATACAGTATGTACAGTCAGTACGCTGTATGAAGGCGAGAGAGAGATCTCAGTGCACTGGCTTTTTAATTAGCAAAAACACTTGCTCTTAATTGATATTTTCCAAAACAACAACACTTGACCTTTGTGCAGAATTTTTGGAAGGAGAGAGAGAGAGAGAGAGAGAAAAAAAAGCAATCGGGAACCATATCAAACATTAAAAAAGAGAAAAAAAATCAAAGTCAAAATCCAAAACATCTCCACAGTACCGATACGTTACAAAACAAAGAGGTTGGCAATGCTTCTATGTACCCAAGACACGAGTCCGTGAACCGTGCTCGTCGTTTTTTTGTTTTTTCGGTTCACGTGATCATTAAATTAGTCAGAAAGATGCGTTTTTCCCGTGTAAACATCTGTTAGCTTAACAATGACATTCTGTGACAAAAGAATGTATACAGATTAACCACACGTAAAGCCACGAAAACAACAGAACGGGATTCAAAGACAGCTTTCAGGTAGTTATCAACACTCATCGGGGGAAGGAGCCGCGTTGCCTTCGCGTTTAATACAAGCTGAGATGTACCCGACGTGGCCTTGGATCCTTTTTTTTTTTTTTTCCCACCTGTTCCTTTTCTCTGGCAATCTGTCAGGAAAAAAAACAGACATTTCAACTTCTCCCTGGGTCAAACTTGTTTCTTTCGACCTCCTGCGTCGGCCTTGTGTTATTCTATTTGAAAAGTCCTCAATGCTGCAGCTGCCCAAATCCTTGAACCACGGTTAAGTACAAGAAATGAGTTTCAACTATTTTTATAGCAGAAATGCTGTGTGGTCTGCTTGAAAACACTTGTCCATGACACCGCGGGCTCCGGTAATCACTATACACGATCCGCACACACTCACACAGCCCTTTCCTGGTGTCATCTTGATGGGATTGTCCTGATTTAGTTTTCCCTAAATCCTGATATATTAGTCTTGTGTGAGTGTCATTAGTGCCATTACTCCTATGCCCTTTCCCCCACTGGAACCCCTCAGGCCTGCTCTAATTTATTAAGATGTTTTAATGTCTGCTAAATCACGGCACATTATCAGGCTTTCCATTCATCACGTCAGACGGTTAAATAGACCCTTGTGGCCTGCGCTGACACATTTCTGATCCGTCTGCTCTTGCCATTTTTTTAGGAGCAGCTGAAAGACGGAGCGAAGCAGGTCTGAATACCTGAGCAGCGGGGGGGAGGTTTTAGCTGAAAATACATAAAATAAACAATGACGACACGTATCACGTTTTAAAAAAGCTAATACAACTGACGAGAAAGGACAGATTCACAAAATATTAACACAGCTGACCATACATTTAGCCAAATAATATCTAAGCTGGTGGCTAGATTTCAATTATCAGACTGGCACAATTGGCAGCACTTTAAACCTCTCGTCCCAACTGCGATGGCTGACGATGCGCGCTAACTGGCACTGGTTGCGCGTCGCCCAGATGGATGTAGACTCGGGGTGCAACTGATGAATATTTTCACTAGCGATGAATCAGTCGGTTGTGTTTCCTATTAACCGCTCAGCCTCTGAAAGGTCGGAAAACGGTGGGAATCGCCAGAGTTCGGGGGTTTTCAGATCGCTTAACACTAGAAGTTACTGAATTTCACCATAAACTGTTACTAATGCTAGATTGGCTACCAGGTGTGTCTTAGGATAACCAGACACTTGCTCTTTGTTATAACAAATTTAATTTCTTCATCAACAAGATCAGTGAAGATGAAACAAAAACGCAGTTGAAGGTTCCCAAATTAAATTATTTAGTCTTTTATTTGCACTATGTTGCTTCTTATGTTGAAAATGGCTGAAATAATTATTCTAAGCAGCTTTGTTCCTCGTAGTAGTCTAAAACAGAGGTGTCTAATCCTGGTCTTCGAGGGCCACGATCCAGCATGTTCTAGATGTTTCCCTCTTCCAACACACCTGATTCACATGATCAGGATCGCTATCAGGCTTCAGCAGAGCTTGATGATGAGCTGATCATTTGAATCAGGTGTGTTGGAAGAGGGAAAAAATCTAAAACATGCAGGATCGTGGTCCTCGAGGACCAGGATTGCCTACCCCTGATCTAAAAGAATCCCTACCGCCCTCGACTGCGTGTTAACAACGGAGCCAGGTGATGCTAGACGATGTTGTTTGGAAGTCAAAAGTGCTGAGAAGTGTTCTGAACAGGGCGGCCATTAGAGGGAAAAAGGGCGAAACCCAACAACTGTTTAAATACGTGGATAATGGCACGGATTTTCAGCCTCTCAATGAATGCGTTCGTACCGTTTCACCCGGTTGTAAACACAAATGCGCCGCGTAACAAATAAAACAGCTTCACCTTCACATGCGGCGTGAAGTGGGTGTGAAGTGAATGTTGGATTGTCAGAAGAGTGATATTCGCGGGAGCAGCCCCCCTCTTACGCCGATGCTGGACAGGTGTGGGGGTTTTTCCATCTGACAAGCACCTCTGATGAAGTATGCAAACAAGATGCTGAGTGAGTTTCAGAGGTGCTCGTAGGTGTAAGTGTGAATTTTGGACACAGTCGAGCTCGCTTGCTCTACCTCCACCCCCCCTCTTTATGCTTTTGCAGCTCCATAGTTAACACGCTGACAGAAGAGCGGTGTCAGTATTCTCTTTTAACTCAGCAAGAACGCATCAAATTAATAGGATTTTAGAATTAAACTCTCAAATGGCCTCGTGGTTAGACTGGATGACAGTTTGTTTCGCTGGGAAAGGTCTTGTAAGCAAGGTTAGAAACTCAGATCTGTGAAACGTATCCCTCCCTATGTTCGGCTTGTTTGCTGCTTTGCTACATGTTCCCTAGCAACGCGAGCAGCAGGAAGTCCAAGACATCACAATAACTGTGTATTTCACGACATTACTCTAAAAACAGGAAAAGGAGGCAGGAAATTATATTTAAGTAACTGAAGGACTGATTTCACACAGTAAACCGGAGGCGACTAGATTGTAACGTACACATTGGTGCATTTCACCTGAACGCCCAGCATCCACTGTCAGGCTTAAAAGGGCATGGTACCTTTTATTTTTTAATAAAAGAATTGCCAAAATTACACCTTTTATCAGA